ATATATAAATTGGTTCCTTAAAGGGGGGTTGAGCAGAAGAGAAAAAACAACAAGAAGTTGACGCAGCGACGTTGAACGCTGGTTATTAGTTATGTTAAGTGTTGAAATTATGCAGTTAAAAGTTAGAAACAGGGATTTTGTATTAGAGGTACCTGTTAGCACCGGAACAGTGTGTGTATTTCGACTGTTTAAGTAGCAAGTCTGAAGTTGAAGAAGACACGTGTTGAACTGTTGTTAGCGTGCTAGCACTGCAGCTAGCGGATTCAAGAGAAGACACGTGTGTGAGGAGAACTGTTTTTTACGACTGAGACAAAATTATAGTTGAGTGAGGTGGGCTACGCAGATAATTCATTTCTGTTAACAATGCTGTCAGTACAAACAATTTGCAGATAATCTTTATATGGTCTTTCAGAGCCTGGCCTGTCACAAGGTCTACTACTTTGTTGATAGTCATGCCACTCACTACCAACATTTTCTTTACCAGTGGTGTGCAACCATATTTAGATTTCTTTATTTATATAGCACCAATTCATAACAGAGATTATCTCAAGGCACTTTTTATATAGAGCAGGTCCGGGCCATACTCTTTGTTATATTATTTACCGAGACACAACAACCGTGAACATGCACTTGTTGACAGTGGTAATAGGCAGAAACCTTGAGCAGAACCTAGACATATTTGGGCGGCCAACTCGAATGGTTAGAGAGAGAGACACACATGCGCGCACGCACACACACACACACACAGACACACAGAGATACACAGATACACAATGCAAGTCCCATCCATCCATCCATCCATCCATTGTCAACCGCTTATCCTGCGTACAGGGTCGTGGGGGGCTGGAGCAATCCCTGCTGACATCGGGCGAAAGGTGAAAGGTCGCCAGTCCATCGCACACATAGACAGACAACCACTCACACTCAATTATGGATGGTAGGAGGAAGCCAGAGCACCCGGAGAGAACCCACACGAACACGGGGAGAACATGCAAACTCCACGTAGGCCAGGGCGAAATAATAGTAATGGTAGTGATGATAATGCAAATATCAACAATAATAATAATAGCAATCCATCCATCCATCGTCAACCGCTTATCCTGCGTACAGGGTCGCGGGGGGGCTGGAACCTATCCCAGCTGACATCGGGCAAAAGGCGGGGTACACTCTGGACAGGTCGCCAGTCCATCACAGGGGTACACATAGACAGACAACCACTCACATTCACACCTGAGGGCAATTTAGAGACACCAATTAACCTAGCCTGCATGTCTTTGGATGGTGGGAGGAAACCGGAGCACCCGGAGAGAACCCACATGAACACAGGGAGAACATGCACAACTCCACATAGGCCAGGGCGAAATAATAGTAATGGTAGTGATGATTATGCAAATATCAACAATAATAATAATATGACTAATAACCATAATAATAATATGACTAATAATAATAATAATAATTCTAGCAGTAGGCTCCAATTCTTCTTTTGGAGACTGTGAGGGACTAAGCAGTTAAGCAAGAGGAGTCACAAGGGAAGTTCAAAAATAAGGGTTTTTATTTACAAAAATCATTACAACAAAATAAAGCTAAAGTTTGGGCCTATCTAGGTCAAATAAACAGACTCACAAATAAAACTGACCTACTACAAAAGAAACAAAGGGGACTTATGTATTGGCTGATAAGACCAACTTTGACACACAGGGGGAGACTAACAATAACACTACTACATAAACTACAAATAACAGCAAAACCTACTTAAAAACTTATTCCAAAAGAAATGTAATCTTACTAAACCTTAACTCAACAAAAATACTGAAATATAAATCAAAACCCCAAAATATCTAGGGAAACGCTACCCCCCCACCCCTCCGGACAGAACAAGCAGTGGTAGTGTCCAATTAGGCCGCCTCCCCTATAAAGCTTCTCCGGCTCCAAGCACCACCCCTTTAAGCCAGCAGACTTCATGGATCCTTCCAGGGTGTGAAATCCAACACCGGAAAGCTCTCAAAAACAAATACTTATACAAACAGAAAAGCAATCCAAAAGTAACTAATGGTGCGCGCTCCAAAAAGATACTTTTGTATGTTCAACTAAATAAAATAGAATGTATGTGAAATGAACCAAGTGTCCTGTGAGTTATTTGTAACTAAATAAATGTTTGCAACAAATGTATAATGTGTATGAAAAAAGTATATAAAATAATCCTGAGGAAAAAACAGCATAAACTAAAGAAAAATATAAAGTGCATGTGGTTACAGCTCTTAAACTGGTTGTGTGGCCAGGGCTGTGACCATCACAGAGTCTCTTGGAACCAAAAGTAACCCTGCATTCTGGGAGAGAAGTGTTCTAGTGGCATAATAAGGTAGTATGAAATCTTTAAGATATGATAGTACCTGACCATTAAGGTCTTTGTGGGTGAGGCGAATTTTAACTTCTTTACAGGGAGTCAATGCAGAAGCTAATATGGGAGAAACCATGTTCCTCAAAATGTAAACAGGCAGCATTTTTTAAGATCCAACCTCCATCTACTTCAGATGATTTTATGATAGGGACACTAACCAGACTGTACAAGCTAATCAGTCTCCTGACTTGGTGAAGTCTTTGTTTGACAGGAGAACATTTAATGCTTTGCATTCACACACGGATTGCTAATCTCTGGCTTGTTAAGGAAGTGCAGAAGATGTCCTCAAGGGCACAAACTTTCCAGGACCTCAGCATTTGCATCTTAGAAAATCAGAGATTAGAGCGATCAGTGAATATTAATGCGAGAGTATGAAAGACAGGTTTGATTTCTTGTTACAGAGTTAGCTAATTGTGTTTGTTATTAGCATGTTGTATTAAAATGCATATGACACATAAAAATCTGTTTGCATTGTGTTTGTTTTCCCAACACAATGAATACCTTTTTGTGCTTCTTTTGCCAATTAGCCATTTTAAAAATGTTTTGTTATTCATTCTTATTGGGATGAGAACTAAAGCAGTCATGTAGGGAATGTGGAGCAAACACACATTCCTGCCATTCCCCATGCACAGCCCGGACTAAACTATGGCGGCATGCCTCTGGCATTAACCCATGGTATGCGGCTTCAATGGCAAAAGGAAACATTTTCTTCCCTTAGTAATAAAAGCGGAATGAATAGTGTCTAGGGCTGCACACATTGAATGACAATCAATGAAACATGCATCGGGGAGGCCTTATCTGATCTTTCTCTGTCAAATTGATCGGTGATAACAACATTCATGATCAGTGACAAATCCACAGCACAGCTGATAGAGTGTCAGGTGTAAACCACTGATAAAAGACTTTGCTCATATGGAAACACTGAGTTATTGATATAATGCAAAAACAAAGTTTAGTAATGAAGCAATCCTTATCACATTTGCCACATAGCCTCTTAATAGCATGGGACTATGAACTCACTGCCACGGCTTCCAGAAAGTAGGTGAGGGTGTTAAGACAGAGATTGAGACAGTAATGGTTTAGGTTAAAAGTGTGTATAATAATAATAATCTAATATTTCAAGCCTTTTTGTACTAACATGTTTTGCATTTTCCTGGGAGAAGCAGTGTCATCATTATGTATGATAGAAACATGGTATTTCCCCAAATGATGTGGGGCTATTATTAAAGTAAAATACTAGCTCTAAAAGGCTACAGTATTCTCATTGTCTGATTTCAAATGACTTAAAACCTCTTGGAGACTTGAATTTACATTTACTCATTTGGCTGACACTTTTATCCAAAGCGACTTACATTTGAGGAACAACATACAAGCATCAGTAAAGTAAGAGATCTACGAGCAACAATAGATACTAGTAAGAGCAGGAATAACACTAGAAAGAGCTACTGACACATACGATATCCATGGGGTAGATACCTAGGGGAAGCAATGAGAGTTAACAAATAGTGCAATCAAGACAAGCGAGTTGTAAGATCATAGTGGAAGAAGAGCACAGGAAGTGCATGTTAAAGGTTAGGGGTTACAGATGTTATAAGGTAAAGTGTTATAGCCATAATGTGAATGTATGTATGTATCTATTTCCAAAAATGTTACACTGCTCCTGTCCTATGCCATTGTTTTAATAATTAGCTATGTAAAATGTTGTATGAAAAATGCTAGCTCGTCCTCTTAACTTTGACTTTTGAAAGTAACCCATGATGTTTTGCCATACATACTCATCGTCAAGTGATTATAAAAGTGAACATTTAGTCGCCACCACAAATGTCAGGGCCTGTCTAGGTGTCCAGATACTTTTAGGTTGTACGACTAGAAATTGATCTTTTCAGCACCTCTTTTGTAAAGAAAGCATCTGTTCACCTGTGGTCTCTTTACTGACTGAATTGTTATCCATCATGTGACGTGTTGAACTATTTTGTCGGACCTAAGGCAAATGTGACAATGCCTTTACTCTTTGGTTCAAGGGGTTAATCAGCATTACTGTCTAGCATGTCTTTTTTGAAATTAGGCCTACTGCTTGGTGGCCACCAGAGTTTGCATTTTTTGATCTCTACACACCTCTTAAACAAGTCAATAGACAAACAAACTTATGGCGGAAACACCCTGCCTGCATGCATATAAAGAAAGAAAGGAACGGAGCGATGGGGAACAGTCTTCACAAACTGTTGAATGGCTTTATTATGAAATTTTAAGTAGCTATCTATCAAAGAACAATTAAGTTTCTTTGAGACTCAATGATCATGTATTTGGGTGTAGGCCTGTGTAAGCCTGTGCCTAAGGCACGACTCGTTTTTAGAGGTGGACCGTGGGAAAAAATATCTATGGTAAGTGTTACTATCAATAAGAGTTGTTTAGAGCCCAGTTGTTGTCAAAACACAAAGTGAGTTTGGATTCGTCTGTGTGGGTGTGGCCAATCACAGTATGGCCTCTCAATCAAAGAAAGTTAAATCTATCAAAATGAAACTCCTGAAGGTCTTAACTCTAATTCTAATCCATAATAACGTGAACCTGAATCTATATTTATTTCTGCCATTGTTATGCCGGCATTTTGTTGTGTTTACTGTCACAGCAGCTTGGTAAGTTTACAAGATGTGATGATCATCTGTTCCAGGAAGAGGGCGCAGTAACAAAAACAAGAAGCATAATGAATGTGTGGAAAAGTACTGCTACATTGTCAGTCAAGGTCAAACTAATCAAAAGGATGAATGACGACTCTCATCCAAATCATGTTACTACATGACAAATTGCTGTTGAATTGAGAAGTAGATCGAGAGTGATAGTTATTCCCTGAAGGTCATTAGCCGTTTCATGTAAAACTGGATTTATGACCAGGTGAATGACTAATGTGCCCAACAAAACTCATCAAAGTCATGATTGTACTCAATTATGTAATCTGTCTCTTGTGACTCCCTGGCTTATGTTTATGATTCATGGATGACTTAACCACAGTTCCTTACAAGTACATACACAAAACATGTGAGGGGACAGGAGCCACTTCGGAAAAATGAATTCCTTTCTAAGTAGTCAGGGTGGTGTTCATGTGTGTGAATCTGCATTTCAGAGTTTATGTAACATTCAAGCCTAGCAGGGGGTTTATGGTTCACTGGCTCCGTCCTCTCTTTTGCATATGCCAGTCTTGCCTTGGGGTTTCTGTTGCTGTTCTGGTCCGTCTCTGACCCCCCGATAGTTAATCCAGCCTGGCTTGTGATGAAGTCAGATGGCCTTTGGTTATTTCAGTCATGGCTTTGCTGTTCTTGGCTTGTTTAAACCCTGTTAAGAGTAAATGTATTCCAGCTTTCAAGCATTTTTCAGTAACATGATAAGGCAACCGTTATAAAGGGTTTAGAAGTTCTAACTGATTGTTTCATTAGTGGTTAACCATTGCTTTACAGATCAGTTAAAAGCCATTAATAAGAACAACTTTCCTTTACAAAGGGTGCCTTATTAAAATGTTTTAGAAAATGTTACAGAATAATGTTTCAAAGTCACAATACTTTTACCCACAATATGCAAGAATGTTGCATCAAACACAAATCTTTGCATTATACCAGGATATCTTTGCTCTGAGTGACTTTACATACTTATATTACTTACATAATGTGGGAAGGATATCAAAGCTGTTAAGGTTGTTGCAGTACCCCTATCCTTTATTGCGAAAAGCATCAGATGCTCTGGTCCCCTGGTGTCAGTTCATTTCAACACACACTGTTGAAAGAAGCTTTCATCAAACAGAGCCAACAGAGAAATTCCTGATCCTTTAAAGAAACATTAAGTTGTGAAACCTCAGATCACTGAGATGCCACATTATCAAGACGTGCAGATGCTGAAAACTGACCAGAGACTGAGAAAAACAGAGGGAAAAATACAGGGTCATGACAATGTGCAAGTTTGGATGTACTTTATAGTACTACTAATATTTTAGTATACGAAACCTCACTTACCCATTCTTACACATGCATGTTTTTCAGGTGCATTTGCAATGTAGATAACATTCTCTCTTATATTTCATAAAGCGTTTTGAATAGAACGGTTTATTATTTGCAAAACATAGCAGATAAGGGTCTTTCCGTTGCTGTTTCACCCCTTATCATCTTTCCACCACTCCTTTATGCTGTGGAATTTTACCAGTTACAAGCTCATTTTCAGTTCCTTGTGTGTGTCCTTGTGCATACTGTTCCATTTTTTCCTCTTGTTTCACTTTACAGAACAGAAAGTCAGCACAGCGTCCACCCGCTGGCACTACGCAACAAAACATAAATGATCTGGGAATGATCAGAGGTGGTGGGAGTCGTCCGCTCCAGCAGTGTCTTTGAGGGGGAGAAACTCCGCCCCTTCAAACTCAGGATCCAGTCTCAAGCAATCTTGTCAGCAAACAGATATCACTCTGAAGTGTCCTTGAGCAAGAAATGAATCTCTAATGACCTCAGGGTGCTGCTTTGTGGCTGACACTGATACCTCATTTTAGATGGATGGGTGAATGTTAGATAAATTGTAGCACACATTTGTGTGTGTATACACAGGAAGAAAATCAATGTGTATTTGATAATGAAGCAATCCTTGACATATTTCACTGACATAATTCACTGGAGGAATGTCAGTTCATGCAAGTATGACAAAATGTGGTGCAATATACTGCCATCTAGAGGAAGCTACAGCAAATCTGCCATAAACTGATAAGGTTCCTTGTATTGTACCCTCTGTGTGAGCAGATTAGGAATTACAGGTGAATAAACACAACCAGACTGTCTCAAACCACTCAGGTTGATATTAAAACCATATTTGTTGCCATAATTTGAGAAAGAGTTGTGTGTCGCAGAAATGACTTCCAGCACTCCCTTTTCTTTGTCAGCTGGAGGAAATATCAGCATTTTCATTTAACATTTTCAAGGTCATGCTCCACAATCTTTCCTTCTGCCAAACATACAAACCAACTATGCAGAAAAGATAAAAAAAAGAGTAAACAAAGTATGAGCAGTGGTTACTGTGTATTGTGAGCTAATGACTTTGCGTCTTACTCTAACCAGCCGCGCTCTCTGCCAGTGTCTTGATCTCCTGACCAAATTCATGATGTGGCCTTCGAAAACCTGGCAAAAGGTTGGTAAAGTATTGGGGGAAAAAAATAATAATTCTTTACGTGGTTGGCTGCACTTGAATGACGGTAAGTGGGTGGATAGAATTACTTTAAAGCAGTAAAAGGTTAGTTTGGGCACTAATGATTTGACCTATTTAGGACTATATTACTTGGCTTTAGCTGTGGCATTGTTTGCTGTAGTCACTAAATTACTACAGAGTTTAAAGGGCCTGAAAAACTATTTTCTCAGTCTGCTTCTTAGTATGAGTGATTGATAGGTTCCTACATGTACACAAAATTTTCTGCCAAAGTTAGAACAGTTCACGTAATTTCACTTGAGAGATTTCTTTATATAGTGGATACTGCCTGCAGAGCTGCATTTGAGTGTTACACTCTTAACACAGAACACCTGTTTTTCTTCACCTCAAATCTAATTTTTGCTTATTTAGCTACGACTATTTATGTTGTAGAAAAAAATACTTACAATATCAAACCAAGTTTTTCTTTAAGACTTGTTTGAGTGATTATTTATTAATTTATCTTTTGGGTAATAATTAATTTCTTTAAAAATTACCATCCTCATGATGAGTATTTGGTGAAACATTAAAAACTTTAAATCTTTAAGTTTTGTATTAATACAATACACTAAATTTACACCTTTTTTCTGTAAAAAAAAAAAAAGAAGCAGAAAATCACTTTGTTTTCCCTCCAACTAGATAAGTGCATCTGATTGGTCCAACCTGACCCTTAACCTGGAGGAGTCCCTGACCAGTGCTTTGGGTCATTACCTGGACAACTGGAGGCGTAATGTGACAGATGCTGCAAAAGCTTTGGACAAGACTCTGGCTGAGGAGAACTTCAGGGACGTCATCTGGTATCTGGCTGTGATGATTGGGATATTTGCCTTCATTGTTGTGGCCATCCTGGTGAGCACAGTCAAATCCAAGAGGAGAGAGCACTCTAATGACCCCTACCACCAATACATCAAGGAGGACTGGACTGCTCAGATACCACAGAGTGATGTCATCACTAATTGGTCAGCTAGATAATGCAAGCATAGATGCTTAACTTACAGCAAATCATCAGTAGAAGGAGCAGCATCAGCATAACTAACAGATTTTCACAAAATCTATGGTCCTTTCTCATGCTGATCAAATTTGTAATCAGAATAATAAAGAATAATCACTATTAAATGTGTATTTAACTTGGTTTAGTTTTATAGAGCTCTAGATCTTTAATCCATTAAGATCAATAATGCATTAGGACAGGAGTTTCCAACCTTTTTAGACCTTGCAGAGTAAATTAATGTATTATAATGTGTTCATATTAGGGTTGAGTGATGTCTAAAAAATTGGCATTGGACAATGTCAACAATGAAACTCTGGGAAAATTCATTTGGTTAGTTTTGATGCTCTCCACAATGATTTCATATTCATTGCGCAGCACCAAGCAGTTTTGAGCCTCACCACCTTATAATGGCAGGAAAACAGTGTTAACATGACCTGAGAATCATTACAGATAGAACAGTTCATGTTTCCCTTTTGTGTCTTAATTTACTACCATATACATTTGTAGAAAGTAACATAAATAATAGGCAACATAAGAACCACCTCCCTTATGTATTTTTTAAAGCATTTCATTTGTACATCAAAATCCAAAAGAATAATCTCATTATCTTAAAAGGACTAACGTTAGTTTGCATCCCCAATTTGCTTTAACGTTACTAAACTCAGCTCCTCCGTGGTCAACACAGTCCTCTTTAATTTAACTATCGAGATGTACAGCAGAGGACAGAGCTCATCCTTTGAAGAACAAGGCCTTAAATTTTAGACTTTAAGACCCCGCTGAAACCCTGCAGTACGTCTACCTGACAGGTGCTGTTATCAGAGCAGCTCCTTTAATCTCAGAATGTTTGATTGACCAAGTGACAGTGAATCTCAGGGAGGAAAATATTCTGGCAGTAAAGTATGGTGTCGGTGTGTCAGGTAATAAATGCTTCAACTTCTCCAGACCAACAAAAGTCAAAAGTGAAGCAGGTTAACAAACATCTCCCCTTCAGACTGGAAACTAAGCAGGAAGCTAACACAACGTCTTTTAGTTAAATTTATAGAAAGTAACGAGCAGCTGTATTTTATTCCAGCCTCCCTGTCCAGCTGAGAGAAGAGGTGTTCAGCTCCGTCCTGAACACAGACGGAACATCCATGGGGTACCATATCTGGGTCACACAAAGCGACTTGTCACAAGGTAGCCCGCCCTAAAGCCTCCCTTGCTTTCTGGTCTATTTTCCTCTAAATGGGTTGTGTTGAACAACACTTGAAACTAGCAACTGAGACCATATGCAATTGTCGCCCCCTGCTGGCTGTCAGAGAAAATGCAGGTTTGAGGCTTCACTTTTCAAACCTGGAGGTGCTTGGTGAAGACAAAAAGCTGCGTCCTGGTTTCACAAATCAGACACATTAAATATCAAATTTTCCGTAGTTTTGAAACAGACCAATCAAAGAACAAGACGCAGATTCAGGTTATCCTCACACAGGAGCAGGTGGAGGTGAAGTTACGTACTGAGGTGTTGCTGGAGGTGCTCTCATCCTTGTTGTTGGTGGGCAGAAGCGAGGCGAGGAGGCCGGAGCCTTAAGGCAGGACTTGGGAGGCTTGGTCTGGAAATCATGGTACTCCTCTGCCCGGGCGAACTGGTCGCTGAACCTGCAGGAGGAGGAAATGATATCAGCCGCCGCAGTGATGTCACCCGTCAGTGTAAGTATGAGTGCGTGCGTACCTCGTCACAGCTGGCCTGAACGTGCTGCAGAGCCGAAGGATCGGGGTCTGAGTGAAGACTGGCAGAGACAGACACAATCAGCTATCAGTTATCAATACCTCCTGAAGCGATCAAAAAGCCTGTGTGTAGTGACAGCCGTTCTTTGTGTTCCTCAGGCTCAGTCTCAGGTTGTCCATGAACTCCAGGATCTGTTCCAGGGTGAGCTGAGCCAGTTTACTGCTGGAACTGCGAAGATTGAGGACAGAGACACAACCGCTGTTCAACAGGTACCCAAAGACCGTCCTCACCTGTTCGTCTGTTCTGTCCGTCCTCACTTGTCTCAATCCTCACCTGTCCGGTCTGCTCTCACCCCTGTCTCGGTCTGTCCTCATATGACTGTTGATAAAGTATTGTCTTTACTCGGGGAGGTTTTATTGCACGTACCTACAGTAGGCCTAACGAGCATAGGTGTCGACAACTCTAGTAGTTTGGCGCAAACTTAAAGTCACCGTCTCCACCGCGACCGGCATCTCGCTCTGCTGGCTGCTGTGTGTGTAGGAGCCAACAGAGAGCAGAAGAGGCTGCAGCCTTTAAACTACTGCAGTTAGTGTTTGTACCAAACTCCATTTAACACACTCACACTCTGGCATTATTCATGCGACACTAATTTGCTACGTCCTTATAGGAATGCCCGCAAATTGTTTGGCAGGGATATCTACAGTATATCAAGCTAAAGTTAGCTTGTTTACCGTTAGCCAACTCCTGACACGTTGACTCTTACATTTTAACTGATATATGGAAGATTCCAAATATTACAACAAAATTACTCTTCCACGATGACAATGTTAACGTTACCTCTTGCCAACACTAGTGTCTAGTTTGACATAAACTAGTAACGTTACTTTTTAATGCTTTTCAATTTAATGGCACATTTAAGCTAACAATCAACTCGGTCACATTATCCCTTCGGAATTCTGTTAAAAGATAAAACCAGCCAGCTGGAATTTATGGTGAACATCAATATCAAAACACTGCTTCTGTTAAAATCCAAACAATGGTTTAATAAGTAGGAGAGACTTACCACAGTCCAATGATCTTTGCTGGACAACGTCAACGCTCTTTTGACTTTCACAAAGCGCGTGTTGCCGCTTATATATATGACCGTCCACGTGACCGATGACGTCCGAGCTTCGTACTCACGAAATTTTGGCACCAAATGATGCTGAAATATGATGGGGGCGTGGCGTGAGCGAGGGCGCGACTGGAGGACCTTGACGTCACCATTGGATCTAGGCAGAATTCAGCGGACAAAACGTAGCAAAAAATGGAAACTGTGGTGCCTTGAACACACAGATGTGGCTGTAATATGTATTTTGTAAAGGTATATTTTTCCACTGTGGTAATGAAAGTTGTTCAGTTTTTATTTTAATTATTTTTTCATTTTGGCAGATGTAATTTGTGGTCTGGTAAACTGTATTGCATTATAAACAGCTGAGTCTCTTTTATTTAGGTTGGCCTCGCTGATATAAATGGGATAGACAAAATATCAAACAACGGTCTATGTGATCCAAAAGGATCATACAGTTGCAATAAAAACTGAACTTTATCATTTTTATGAAGGGAGGATTTATTGCATAAACATTGGATTAGACTGCATTAAATTTAGCTAGCTGTACCAAATAAACTGGTAACTAAGTCTTAAGACCATTATGAATGAAATTTAAGGCCTATATCACGACTTAAAAAAAAAGAAACATGCAAAGGAAATGCAGTCACTTGCAGTTACTTGTAGAGTAAATCTACGTATTCAAATTAGGGTAGAATAAATGTCTACAAAATTGGCATTGGACGATGTCAACAATGAAACACCGGTATGGACGATGACATTGATAAGCTACGTAATTAAACTGGCATGTGGTGTACCTGCTGATGTGAAAAATGGATCACCGGTGGAAAAAAAAGAGTTCTGTGTCTTTTCGGTGACTTTATAAAACATGACCTACTGCTGATGGATAAACTCAGGGGAGCGATGATTTCAGCAAACACCTACAAACACATAAATGTATGCAGATTAATGGTTTCCAACTTGGGCCTTGACAGAAAAACATAATGCATAAATGACTTGTATTAAGCAGGATGGCTGAAAGTAAGGCAAAAAGAATATAGTTTTTACCTAAGAAATGGACATGGACCTCTGCATTGACAAGAATAGAAAATGCAGGCTCATCCTGCTAATTTCTTTAACCTAACTTAGGTTTTGCTGCATCAAAATGAAAGATTATGTGACTAAGAATTGAGTTAGCCAATCAAATATATTTTAAAGTAGACTAATTGTATAATAATTTCTGCTTCTATCTGAAGCAACATTCCCACACCAACACAGACCCTTGTGTTTTTTCTCAACAGTGTCATTTTTGGTGTGAACAGGGTTGAGACAGAATTTCAGTCAGGTACTAAATAGTTTAAGAACCATAATGGAGTCATTCAACTATCTCATCATACGTTTATAACAGCCTTTAACAAAGCCTACAGTGAAAATTGTTTACACTTAATGCTGTAATAGATCTAGTTCCAGTTTTCTCAGCTTTTGATCACTGCCAATCATTTCTGAAAGAAACCTATGAGAATTTTAAATTGCTAAATATACATATTCATAATAAAATCTCACAGTCACAGCTGGACTAATGCACTTTTCTAAAACAGTGCAATACACCCCCCCCCCCCCCCCGTCTCAAGTCAGGACTAAAATAGCTTTCATGTTAAAATGTCATCCACTGTGAAATGTTGGTGGCTCCAGTTCTAGCAATGTAGTATTTTTTTTTATATCCTCAGTATGTCTGATTAGCAAGCCAGCAGCTGATGCAGAAATATGCAAATTGATAACATAACTTGAATAGCTGTAGTGCCACTCAATACTCCTTAATCCTGAGAGAGCAAATATCACAAACAATATAAAGATTTCCCATTAGCCCAGTCAACAAGAACATCATCAAATGTTGATTTTCTTAAAAAATACAATATCTTATAATTTATTTAATAATTTATTTGACTCACCAATATCAGAGCTACTTTCGCAAGTCAGGTGATTATGGGCAAGATGAAATTCCTGCAGCAGCACTCTCTAGAGTCCTTAATAGGCACAAAATATATGAACACCAACTTTTGATTAGTTTACAAAATAAAGGCCATGTAAACACTTCTCACAAACATGTGATATGGGCAGAGATTATTGTTGTGATAAATGCATTTAGTCTTTAAAAAGGTCTTAAAAAGTCTTAAATTTGACCAGGTGAAACCTGCAGAAACCTTGATATTGTTCAATTACCTCGTCTACCTGACTTAAAAATTTGTGTGGGACTTCTTATTTTAAACAATCTTTATTAGCTATCTTTTTTTGCTTATGATTCCATAAAACTACACATTTAAAGCTCCCTTTTATATTATTTAAGTAAAAGTGCTGCTGATGGAATAAAATTATGTGTAGCTGCTTTTTCCACAAAACACAGTAAAGTAAGTAGTTAAAAGAAATTTTATTTAGCTGAAGAGATTGAAGTTATTATCACTTAACACCAAAAAATCTCATTAAGAATCTGGACATGGAGAATGTACAACATTATTGCAAAAAAGAATGAAAACAAATTGATCAAGATATGCCTTATTTTGTGTCTGTTAAATGTAGAAATGACGGAAGATGTTGTGAGAAGATGATACTAATAAAGACAACTTGTATTATAATAATGGAGTTGTATTTGTATTTTTCAGGACCGCTATCTGAAAAGTGGGCATTTTTTAAAGTTTAAGTTTACTAGTAGTAATTTTGTTGAGTGAGTTTCCATTAGTTATTTGAGTCTAGCACAATTTATTTATTTGAGAAGATTTCCCTCAGAGTATAAATTGTGCACAATTACATTTATTGAGTAAAGAATAAGTGGAATTTAATTTTAATAAGCATCAGTGAATCAATGTAATTTAGTATGAAGAAATTAAAAGTTTTTAAAATTGTATTATATTTAAGTTAAGGTTTACTAAAAAATATTATTACCACTATTTAAAATGTTTGAGGTAATCACTTTCCACAAATATTTTGAGTATTCTAAACTTATTCGGCTTTGACACCACCTGTTATCTTCCAAATGTGTTCATATAAACACTTTTTGAAGAGGATGTTAATACACTGTTAATGATTATATAAAAGTGATTGTTGTTGCAATTGTTTATTGATGCAAAACATCATGACCCTGAAATAATAAAATTTATGGCTAAATACCATTTAGCTCCTTCAGTATCTGTGTCCTGGTATCATTCATACCAGCTCACTGTCACACTGTCATGACTTACAGGCACACTTGAATAGAACAGAGCCACTGTTAATGTTATTAGTAACTCCTGTGTATTACCTCCTATCACAAGTATAAATGTCTGTGGTAGGCCCTTAGCTTAACTCAACATAAAGACTGGAAGTAAAGGGGAAACAGCTAGCCAACTCTCCCAAAGTTCAAAAATTCACCTACCAAAAACCAAAAAAAGAACCTAAAGATTCTAAATTCCTTAACACGTGTGCATTAACTGTTTCTTAGCGAACAGAAACTGGGCACAGTGACTTCCTGGAACTTTGACAAGTTAGTTTTCTTCAATCTTGACATGTCACAGTAGGAAAAGCACAGGTGCAAACTTGTTCTGTCACACTGTCAAGGCTCACAGGAACATTTGAGAGCCATCTTTATAATCTTATAAGCAACACCTGTGATTTTCCTGCTAAGACAAGTCAACATATCTGCTGTGAAAAAGGTATATTGACAATAAGTAATCAGCCTCATACCAATGATAATCCTATTTCTGTGTTCATATTCTTGCAAAATTATATTGAGTTGAGTTGTTTTCCAAAAAAGCTGAGCTACTCCATATTTTTTTGCCAGGTTGGGAATCAATGCATAAGGATTTTGAACCTTTAAGAGTGTTGATACTACAACTCAAGATTCAGCAGGTCATACATGATTTCTACCTGCAGAGGGCAGAAGAGGCATGTTCAAATACAGTTAGAGAACTATTGTACTTGAGAGTGGAAATGCTTTGTTATAGTGAAATAATGGTCTATATGAAGAGGAAGAGGAAGATCTTTGAGTCAGTGTGTAGGTTTGTGAAGAACAAAATGGGGGAAATTGCAGAGAAATCAAGAAGGCACATTCCCTTTGCACACCTGTTGGCAGATTGTCTCATGAGCTGTCGCTTAAAATATGCCACCACTTTCTACTCCAGCACCAAACCACAAATCCACTTACTTAAACTTAACAACAACTAAAAATTAAACCCCCAAATTTCTGGGGCTCAACTCCCTTCTCCCACAACACTGACTCTATCAAAGAGACATCACAGGAAGCAAGAACTGTACTCACTATTAACCCCCACTCCCCCCTGCTATCGCTCTTTCTCACTTGTAGTTTTATTTTTAGCATTCAAACAACTGGTCTCCTAAAAATGGGCCTGTCCTGCATGGTAAGGGGAGCAGAGAGAGGAGAGGAGCACTGCTATGTATGGTATCCACCCCCCAGTACCTCACGGGCCCAACAGTACTCCTCTTTCGCCTTTGTGTCTGCAGAAAGAAGGCGTGAAGGAGTGACTGCAGTGGGAGAAGGAGTTGCAAGGTCCTGAAGATGCTTGTAGAAGTTGGATTTTTCTGCACAGCCTGGGATGCTTGAGAACTGCCACTGACGGACCAACATATACATCTAAAACTTTCTGCAGAATTTCCTACATTTCCTTACCCTTTCACAAGGCATAGGTGACCCACTCTGACTTTCTGGGGTGTGTGGTAGCTCCAGACCATGCTCTCACTGTGGTTGTTCCTGCTCTCTTGCCTGAGCCTGGTGCCTCTGGCCCCAGCCGAGAAGGGCCTGGAGTTCCCACAGTATGACGGGAAAGACCGCGTCCTAGATATCAATGACAAGAACTACAAAAAAGCCTTGAACAAGCACAGCATGCTGTGCTTGTTCTACCATGGACCCATAACAGACAGCAAGGAGCTGCAAAAACAACACCAGATGACTGAATTGGTGCTTGAGGTAAAGTATGAAGCAGAGAAAAACAAAGCAGGACGCAGGCAGAGAAGAGGTGCAGTGTCAAAATAAAGGAACGGGACAGAGGGAAAAGAGGAGGGATGAAATGAAGAATGTCAAGGAAAATAAAGGTCTCACTGAGATATAGGAAAGAAAGACAAAGGAAAGGACAAGGTTTGGTTTGGTGGCTGTAGTATAAGAAAGAGACGACACTAACAGTCAAATTAATCAGACTCATATAAAAGATTTAGAAGGTTACAACTCGACATTAGTGCTCCAGTAATCAGAGCGCCAACTGGCGAGTTATAAAACTTCAGATATTTCTATTTTAATGTTCGTATGGGTGAGTTTCTTCAAGGTCAATGTGTATCTGTATGCACTCTGAGTGCACAATAGTCCAGTGAGATGCAGTGCTGTCACTTAAGGTTATCTCTATCATCTTAATTCAATGTGTGCTACTATCCCCTAGAAATGTATCAGGCTGATTCTCCCTGTGGCTCTCTTCTGCATAGCAGAAATAGGCCAAGAGCTCATGTGTATTAATGTTTTTAAGCAATACATGTGAAGGGCACAGCTGCCATTTCCTGTATTGTAGTTGACTTTGGTGATCAAAGCAAAAGTAGGCTAAGACAGCTTGAAGGTATTTTTTATTCAGGCTTAGCGGACAGATACATGTCTAACTGCTAGATTAAATCCATCTGTTTGAATCCCACACAGTAGGAAACAGTGTGCACAGTGCCCTGTCTCATGTTACACATGGCTGAGGGTGAGTTGCTCTGAATCTGAATCTGTTGAAGGTAATTTGAGCCCAGACATGCAGTCCTGATATTAGCTTCACTTACTACACAGCACAGGTGGGCAATGTTACAATGTAGTCAGGCACCTAGTGTACAGTGACCATGTGCAAAGATGAACTTGTTAAAGCTGATGACAGTCTACTGTAGGCCAGTGACTGCCGATGAGCAGAGTGAACAGATATAGTATTTAACATATAAATTTGTCACAAATGTCTACAACTTGCAGATGGGTTAGCAGGCTTTCAACCTGCTTAAAATCCGTTCACTTCCTCACTTTGTCAACTGTTGGGGAAAAAAAGTTAAAGGTGCCCTGTGGATTTTTCTTGTAACAGGATACATTTAATTTTATTTGTCCAAAGCTTGAAGACAGCACATAGATCATAATGTAAACAAGCTTGTTCCATTTGTGTAAGGGTCATTTCTGACAGGGCAGAGTCTAACTTAGCTCACCTACTGTACCTCACAGAACAACTGCCAGAACAATACAAATTCTCTTGCTTTGGTTATATTTAGAACAAGGCAGTCTGGGTGATATTGTAAGTGTGTCTCCAGGGTTCCTGGACCGCTTGAGCACCTCTGTCACATTGCCAACTTTGGTAGTCATTTTTCTTTCTTAAGACCTCCTCTCGAACACCTATTCTTTTTTTTTTTTTCAAAAAAGCAGCCTCAATAAAGATTTTACAGATTTTTTGCCATTGATTTTTTGATTATTGTTTCCAGTGCTCACACTGCAACGGGATATGAAAATGTCTTGTTTATTTACATCTCATGTGTTCATTCCTATTCTTACTATTAAGCCCTTCGTGATATTTTTTCTTTTGGCTGCAGCTTGCTGCTCAGGTTTTGGAGGAGAAAGACGTTGGGTTTGGAATGGTCGACTCCCACAAAGATGCAAAGGTGGCAAAGAAACTGGGTGAGTATATGAACACAGCATAACCCTTATTCAGCCCCTTTTATCTGATTATCTTTAATCATCTTTCCAGTCCTGAAAGATGATTGCCCTTAATCACAGATTTAGTCAAGGGTCACAAATGTCTATATGTGTAGGCTATGTATTGATATATGATTTCCCTCAATAACAGACCTGGAGGAGGAAGGCAGCGTCTATGTTTTTAAAGCTGATCGAGTGATCGAGTTTGATGGCTTGCTCTCTGCTAACACTCTGGTCGAGTTCTTGTTGGATGTGAGTAGAGTAATTTAAGGGCAGATTCCCAGCTGCTAGCACTAGTCAGCACCAGTCTTGCCAAAGTCACAGACTTCCCCCACTTCTCTCGCCTCCTTCTGTCTGTCTCTAGCTCTTGGAGGAGCCCGTGGAGGTGATAGGAAATGCCCTGGAGCTGAAAGCCTTTGATAGGATGGAGGAAGACATCCGCCTCATTGGTTACTTCAAGAGCGAGGAATCTGATCGTGAGTGTGTGAGGCGGTTGGCATGAATGATATGACTGTAAAATGTATGTTTTTTGCAGTCTGAACACAGCGTAGTAGCTTCTTAGCTGGGCCTGTGATGGGCTTTCTGTGGCTCATGCCATTCATTATGACATGAGTGCATTTTAACCCCCTCATCTCCATGGATTTACAGATCCATTTTTACCACTGCTGCACACACAGCTGCCACTGCCTGCTCCTATCTCACACGCTCTGGAAGAGCTGTGTTTAGAGTAGTTTACTTGAGCTGCAGCTACATCCCATCTGACCAACTGTGGGACCATTAAGTGGAGGTCAAAGTTCAGTTATTTCCACTCCCTGATGCGTAAATGTCATGTATACAGCGGCCAGAGAAAGCACAAACAGATGTGTGATCAGAAAAACAAGAGTACAACCAAACCCTGTTGCTTACAACACAATATAATCTCCTTTTCTCTCCCTTTTCTCTTTTGTCCTCAGACTATGAAGCATTTAAAGAAGCTGCAGAGCAGTTCCAGCCCTACATTAAGTTCTTTGCCACATTTGAAAAATCTGTAAGTAGCAAACAAACAAAGAAACAAGTAGACACATACTTTTTCTTGAGTGATCTGTCTTTTTTGCTCCAGGTGGCCAAGGAGCTGACTCTGAAGTTGAACGAGGTGGATTTCTATGAACCCTTCATGGAGGAGCCAGTCACCATCCCAGGCAAGCCGCACTCTGAAGAGGATCTAGTGGAATTCATAACTGAACACAGACGGTAAACAAATGTTGAACTAAATTCCAAGTTTAAAAAAAAAACACTTTTGAGGTAACATCTAGTGTGTTTTCTGTGCCATCAGACCAACTTTGCGAAAGCTGCGTGCAGAAGATATGTTTGAGACCTGGGTGAGTGATGATTGTCTGACTGCAGGCAACGACTTTACATTTAGTTTTCCCTGACACAAGTATCACTTACAGTAACCCACATTTGTCTCATTCTTCTTCTCAGGAGGATGACATTGAGGGCACCCACATTGTTGCTTTTGCAGAGGAGGAGGACCCTGGTAACAACATGTGTTATGACACTATTTTTTATTGGAGGAATTAGAACATATTTGCTCTAGATGCTGGAGTTTTACAGCAAATGGCTCGGTAACTCCTGTCTCCTGACATTCAAACTATCAATCAAATACAAACAAACAATACAAATAAACAGTCAGACAATTGACAATTGGAGTCTAATGCCACACGTAATATTCAAGTAACTTTTATTTATTCAGAAATCACTAATTTGTCTCAAGCTAAATTGACACACATGAAATAAAATGTAAAACTTAAATAATGAAACCAATTGACCGGACAAAAAACAATAGAAAGTGAAACAGACAAAAAGAAATGAAAACATTTTAAAACAATATCTCTTGTACTCTAAATATGAAGCTAGATCAAGCAGGGAATTAGCTTAGTTTAGCCTGGAAATGGGGAAAGACTTCAGGAAATCACTGTGCGGGGACACAGAAAACACAATGTGTTGGGTTTACATTTCATTTTTGTTTGTTTTTATGGACAAAACAAACAAGATATAATGTGTTAATTAGGGAGCTTTAGAGGTGCTGTTAGGCAGATTTTGTTAGCCTCCAACAGTTTCCAGTCTTCATGCTGAGCTAAGCTAACTGATTGTGGCCAAACATAAGAGTGGCGTTAATCTTCTCATCTAACTCTCTGTATGAAAGAAACAAGCATATTTCCCAAAATGTCGAACTATTTCTTTAAATTGGTTGTGATAAGTTTATGTAATCAAGTGATGTGTGAAAATTGCTTCCAGATGGCTACGAGTTCTTGGAGATCCTGAAGGAGGTGGCCAGAGACAACACCCATCTACCTGACCTCAGCATCATCTGGATTGACCCTGATGACTTTCCCCTGGTGAGCCTTGACAGCTCTAGGCTTAGACAGACACAGAGGCAGGCAGACAAGAAAGTAGTGAAACATAGTAATAAAAAGAAAGATGTGGATATATATTGGGCTTATAAACTGCGGGTCTAATGTGACTTTATTTTTTCCGCCGACTCCCTTTAGCTGATCCCCTACTGGGAGAAGACCTTCAAGGTGGACCTGTTCAGACCACAGATTGGAGTTGTCAATGTTACAGATGTAAGTCCACGACAACCTGTCTGAAGTGACGTGAATGCTGTGTTGAGTGTCTCCTCATGTTAGCTGACCTCTGTGCTTGTGATCAGGCCGACAGTGTGTGGATGGAGATGGATGATGAGGAGGACCTGCCAACTGCCCAGGAGCTGGAGGACTGGATTGAGGATGTGCTCTCTGGCAAAGTCAACACTGAGGACGACGATGACGATGATGACGACGATGATGATGATGAGAATAATGATGAGGAAGAGGATGGCAACAATGATGATGATGATGTCGGCAACGACGACGACGATGACGACGACGACGATGACGACGATGATGACGACGACGAGTAATTCATTGCCAGAGAATAATAAATGTTGACTCCTCAGTTTTTATTCTTAACATGGATTTTAGGCAAACTACAGTAAAATAACCTTTCCATTTGTTAATAATAAAGGACTGTTGATGTCAACTATCCCTGTCATCAGATCTTCTTTTAAACCAGTACATCAGGACAACAGTACATCTTCACTGTTAACTTACTCAAACTGTGGAACATCAAGTAGACTAAAACTTGCATAGCAGCAAGTATATCATTTGAAGTACTTCCATTTTATTCTACTTTCTTTGGGTTAGATTCTAAAATATAAACACAATCTTTTGTAGCAGAACTTTTTCTTCCTTCTCTCCTACCTCATTAATCTCTCATCTGTATAGTTAATCTATGGCATTATTTGTCAGAACGAGTAGTTTTACTTTAATACTTTAAGGACATTGTGCTGGAAATACTTCCGTACCTTTACTTTAGTGAAATGTTGAATACAGGACTTATCTGAGTCCTACTCGCAGCACTCAACACGTAATTTCTTTTACTTATAATCTCTTCAGTTACATAAATTGTGGCTCATTGTCCTTTCCATTTGCCTTTGCTTTTATTCTCCATCCTCCTTTTAGGTAACACAACTTAAGATTTAATGTTTGGTTTACCTAGAAAAGGTACATTTTCTGCCCGGGGGGTTACAACGTTGAAATTGCAAAACCACATGCTGACAGGCTCCCTTTTCAATAGCAAAACTCTCATCCTCTTCCTTTCTGCATCAGGTTTATTTCTCACCTGAATTAATGGGGCAGGCAGCAGCTGCACAGGGAGATAATATTGTCATTACACCATTGGATGGATGCTGGAAAGCTCATTAGAATGCTAATTCCTCATGTTTCTCTTCCTGTGTTGCATTCCTACACTCTTACTTTGCTTTGTTGCTTTCTCTTTTCTTTTGTGACTCATTGCTCTCTCCTCATCTCCTTCTGCACACAATGAAAGAAAACACAACATGCAATAACAGGGAGGATACCTGATCCATGGGTGCGTGGTGACTTTAGATATTTACTGACAAGGGCTATGCCTGTATTTGAAACATTTTATTAGGCAATATTTTTATTTAGCAAACTATGTATTTAGTTGATGGCCACAATGTTCCCTGATGCAGCTTTTGGAAAGAACAGGCTTAGCCTAAATTATTTTGTGAAAATGATCTATTCTGTTATAAAGTCACAGTTACAGAAACACAGCTGATCAAAATGTTAATAAATTTTATATACTTAAATTATTTTATAATATTTAAAATAAAGTTCAAGTGATGTGCTTTGTGTTCGTCATGCCTGACATTCTGGTAGCTGGACATTAAAAGAAACCTTTAACCCTGCCTAGATTTAACACAGGAGGAAGAGTAAGAAATATTTATGTTTTTTTTATGTTTAGTTCATCACATCACCCACACGCATGTCCGTTTAAATTCCGCT